TGAATTATCGAAGTTTTATTAGTAATATTTACTTTTTGGTATTTATATTTGACAACTTATTATTGATATGTTATTAAATTAGATTACGTTAATTTGTAAAAGTTAAGATTGAACTTGATATTTGTATCTACTTTTTGTTATTAATATTAGTATCTACTTTCAGGTGTATTTATGTAGCATCAAATGTTAAAAAATTTAATTATAGTACGGAACCGAATCGAACCGAAACCGAACGGTTCCAAAATTATATTTGGAACCGACGGCTTCATTTACTAAATACCCGAAAATTTCTGGAACCGAAAAAAATCGAACCGAACAGACCCGCGCCCACCCCTAGTAGCAGCAGTGTGGAAATCCAGCAAAGATTCAATAAACTGGAAAGTGTTCTCTTCTTCCTAAAGCAAATGGCCTTCAGTTATATATAAGCAGAGGACTAGGGCTCCTAAGCTGAGATGGTGTCATGGTGATGTGGTTGTCACATCTCCTAGTATTCTGAGAAAATGAAATCCTATCTTGCCTACTGATGTGTTTTGTCACATCAGTAGGATTCAGGGTAGATTATACCCTGATTTTTGCTTCAAAAGTGTCTCTGCAATAACACCTTTAGCATGGCAAACTCGTGTGGTTTGGACGACAGAAGGTCACGGGTAATAGCATAAATGGCAATGATTTGGACCATTTATTTGAATATGTAGTCTCACTTTCAAGTATTGGTAGCATTCCCTATTGCAAAAAATAAAAAATTAAAATAGAAAATTGTTGTAACATCCCTTTTTTACAAGCTTGGGAGGTAACCTGTGGATGCGTACTTTGCCTGCTCTGTGGGCTCGTGCGCGGCCAACGACTAAGGAGTTTAGTCTTAATAAATAGCTTGGGAGCTCTAGGAGTCGTAGTCCCCTGTGAAAGGAACGGAGTTGGGTCCTTCGCCTAAATTGGTTCCGTCACTTTGCATTTTCTTAACCCCCAAGCAGAAATCACTCTCATATTCTTCCCATTCTTTAATAGGGCTTTTTGAGGGTTTGCATGATAGATCCCATACAGTTTAATCTTATCGTTTAGAGGGCTATTGTTCTGCTCTTCCATACTCTAGAACGAACTCAATTTCCAGAGCTATCCATGAATGAATCTCAGGCAGTGTATACATTGAAAGGCCAACTTGATTCCTCGGAGCAGTACCACCTACCTACGTTACCTGGTCAATGGTACTCCTTAGTCACCAATAACCTAATAATCAACAATTCTTAAAAGAACAATTTCTTTTTTATCTGATGCTATTAGAGATTCATGCTCAATTTTGAACATGAGGTTAAAATACAGATGTCATTCCACATTGTCAGTAAATTTCTTCAATTTGACTGCAATTCTTCTCGCGTCCTTAGGTATGATATCATGGCTTTCTTGTTGTGTAGAAATAAGTTTGTTAACAGATCCTGAAGGATATGTTTGACACTGCAAATAGATTGATATAGTTGGTTCGATTCCAAGACTCCAGTTGTAAATAGATTGATATATTTCTAATTTATTTGTTAAAAATCTGGTCATCAGGTCTGATATCTCCCAGAAAGATTTTTGCCTATTTCTTTTTACAAAATTAGCGTCCTAATTACAAGTCAAAAATTCTATTCATCTTGATCTAGAGCTCAGGAATTTCTCCTAGGACAATCCTTTATTTTTTTCTCCTCTTCTCTGAATTTTGTGTAATACCTTGCATTCATTGCAATTTTTTTTAGCCTAGATTGTCCCTCTTTTTACCCAAAAAAAGAATAATAATAATAATAATAAAATGTCTATTACCTCCAAAACCTCAATTCCACCCTAGATTGTCGATTAATCTACCCAAACATCACTCAATGAAATTCAGATTATTCAGGCATCCTGTTCTGAATGGGAAAAGTGACCTAATTTGGTCTCAAGTGGTTCAAACAAAATTGAAAGGAAAAGGGAAGCTCAACCATTTGACAAGCCCTGTTCCCAGCAAAGAGGATCCAAAATTTGAAGCTTGAGACATGGAGGATTCTTTAATCATGGGGCTTTAAGACCCAATGCAACCTGAAATTAATGAAATTGCAAGTTTTTGATCACTGCCAAAGACATGGGATACTGTGAAACACTTGTACTCCTAAGTCTAAGATACAACCTTTATTTTTTAAATTAAAACCAAGATTCATTCCACTAAACAAGGTACAATGTTGGTTACTGCATATTATAATACCTTGATTGGTTTATGGTTTGAACTTGATTGCTAACAAAATCTCAAGATGAAGTGTGGTGATGATGCTACAATCATGTTGAAATTTGTCAAGGGGAAAGAATATATGAATTCTTGGCTGTACATAACAAGGAATTCAATCAAGTCCAAGTGCAAGTACTCTGAAAGGAAGAACAGCCTAGAGCGAAGTTTTCTTCATTATTTGAGCTAAGAAGGGAAGAAGGATTATGATGCTAGACTCCCCTGTTGCTAAAGGATTTGTGCTGGTCGCAACAAAGAAGCCATCTTCAAATAGCTTTGGTGTTCCAAAGCAGAATCATGATAGTAGAGAATCCCCGAAAAATAAACATGAATGTTGGTGTGACTTTTGCAAGAGGTCCAAAAACACGAGGGTGACATGTTAGAAATTGAACGGAAAGCTATCATTTGGTAGAAATAACAAGCAGCAGTAGTATATCCCACAAAACAGATGAGCAAACATAGTTGTTACAGAAGAATATTGAGAGCTTCAAAATAATCTTACTTCAATAGGAAAACTATTCGTTTGTGTTCATTCGCACACTTAGGTTAACCATAATTCATCTAACGCTTTTAGTACATCAAACGACTGTAAATCACACGATCTCTAGGTTGTTCATTCACGTGCTACTAATCACATTACTAACTTATCAAATCACTTCACTATGTACACCCCATCTCATAGAAAACAAAAAATAAAAGTTGCAGATGGTACATTGGCTTCCATTGCAGGAAAATGAACCATTTCCACCACTACAGTTTTCTCATTAAAATCTGCATTTCAAGTGCCTAAATTTTCTATTAATCTGGTCTATTCATAAACTCACAAAAGACCTGACTTGCAACGTTATATTCTTCTCTGATCATTGTGCCTTTCAGGAAATAGTTATTAGGAAAAGATTGAATAACATTATTTATCAGTATGATGATGAAACATTGGTGATGTGACAGTCTGTGGAATAATGAAATTGAGCAGTTCAATTTTTATGTGAAAGGAAGGAGAGAGAGAGAGAGAAATGTCAGTGATAATGGGTGACCACATCACCGATATTCCATCGTCATGATCATAAATAGCATTACTCGAAAAGATTTGGCTTGATAAGGAGAATGAAGAACTTTATTTCTTGGATACTGGTTGTGACGGAAAATGGAGATCATTACCTCTATCTCATTTATCTAAAAGGCTCTCACCAAATAAACTTCAAATTTGGCTTTAGCATCTTCATTTAAAACATCCATCCTTTTAAGTGTTTAAAACCATGCTTCGTGCTTTGTTCAAAGGTGTGGATGAAAAATCTCTTCAATGTGAAATATGTCAATTTGCCAAACATTGTGTTTCATTCCCATTAAGTTCTAATAAGTTTATATATCAATTTTCATTGATTCATAATAATATGCGGGGACCCAGTAGGATTCCACATAGTCGCGGAGCTCATTGATTTATTTATTTTTTTGATGTTTATACTAGTGTCACTTGGTTGTTTCTCATGAAAAATAAATCTAATGTCAATATAATTTTTCCCAAAATCAAAACCAATTTGATGCCCACATCAAAATTTTCAGACAATGGAAAAGAATACTTTAATTATCTTTTGTCTCACGTTTTTCTAGAAAGAAGAGATAATACACCAATCGTCGTGTACAAATACATCTCAACAAAACAGGATTGCAGAGCCAAAAAATTGCCACCTCAAACAACAAAAGCCCTTTTGTTTGAAAAAAACAAGTGCCTAAATACTATTTAGTGGAAACCATATTGACTGCAAACATCAACTCACCTTATAACCAGATCACCTTCAACAGTGTTCGGAAATAAAACTCCTAAAGTATTTGGATGCATCTCTTATGTTCACATCATACACAATATTATGGTAAATTAGATCTTAGAGCTCTTAAATGTGTCTTTCTTGGTGTTCTCCAACACAGGAAGAGTATAAGTGTTACCATCCAAAGTCCAAAAAACTCTTTACAAAAGATGTTTCCTTTGCTAAAAAAACCTCTTTTTATTTTTTTTTGGAAATCTTATCTCTTGAGGAAGAGTTCATTAGAAAATATGATTAGTCTTAGTTTCCCTAAAATTGACCTTGCAAACTCTAAATTCCAATAAAAACCAGCAACTACCCTTTCAAATCTAGATACAACAATCACTACGTCATCAAATTTTGATCCACACTCTCCTAAAATTACCAATAATGAGAAAACACGAAAACATGGTCCTACTTTGCTATTGCTAGTCTATTCAAGGAGGGTTGAGCTTAAACTAGTGCAAGCTCAGGAATCCAATCATACAATAAGCATTGAAAGTCTTCCAAGTTTCCTTTCACCACAAAATCTCCCTATCGCGGAGTTGACAGACTTTGATATTCCAATCACTATTTAGAAAAGGCATGCGAAAATGCACATGCAAACCTACAGCAAACTTTATTTCCTTTAAAAGACTCTCATATTCACATAGAGCATTTTTCACAAAACTACACCATTAAAATTCCTTAAATCCAAGAGGCACTTAAGAGTGCAGAATGAAAAAAAGCTATGAGTGAAAAAATTAAGGTACAGAAAAAATGAGATAGGGGATGTTATCAAGCCCCAATTTGATGCCCCATTAAAAAGTTTTTTTTAGGGGAAAAATGAGTTTTGGAATAACGATTTTTTTGAAAAATGTGTAGTTAAAAGATTGGAAAAAGTTTTAAATTTACGTGTAAAAGATATTTTACCGTGAGAAATTGTGATTGAAAATGAGTTTTATAAAAAAAGTTTGTGGAGAATGGTTGACAAATAAGGGCTAATATACCAAAAGGAAAAAGACTAATGGGATGCAAATGGAATTATTCTGTAAAATATAATACTAATGGTACTTTGAAGAGATATGAAGTGAGGCTTAAAGCAAAGGGGTACACTCAAACGTATGGGGTAGACTAACAAAAAACATTTGATCCGTTGCAAAAATGAATATTATTAGGTTTTTGTTGTCCTTAGCAGCTCACCTCCAATGGTCCTTGCAGCAATTTGATATAAAAAATGCATAGTTACATGGTGATTTGAAGGAAAAAATCAATATGGAGGCACCTGGCTTTACCACGAGTTTTAGGGTTAATAGTGTATGCAGGTTTGTAGGAAATCCCGAATTGATTCCGATTTGATTGGGTATATAATTAGGAAGATTGTTGGAGATTTTATTTACCAAAGTTAGAATATTGTAAATTGATTAGAATTCTTTTTCCTTATTTTATTTTCTTTCTTCTACTATAAATAGAAGTTATGTATTGTACATGAATAACAATGAAGAAAACGTCCAAATAATTTTCCTTGTTTTCCATCTTCACTGTTTTTCCTGTTTTCTTGGTATCAGGTCCGATGACAGAAACAGGTGACAATAACAGAGGGTCAATGACCTTTGAATCTCTCAATGAAGAAACGGAGTCTATCTCTGCCGAAAGTGGAGGAATTGAAAGTTCATCCTTTCACCTCACGGTAGAAAAATTGGACGGAAAGAACTATAGAGAATGGGCTCAATCTATCAAACTAATCATTGATGGAAAATCAAAACTTGGGTACCTGACCGGAGAGACTAAGATGTCAGCCTCAACCGACACAATTCTCCTTCGAAAATGGAGATCGGAGAATTCCATAGTGACTGCTTAGCTCATCAACTCTATGAAACCCTCAATTGGAAAAACATACATGCTCCTACCCACCGCAAAAGACATATGGGAGGCTGTGAACGAGACTTACTCTAAATTTGAAAATTCAGCTCAGATTTTCGAAATTAAATCCAAACTGTGACATACCATGTAGGGAGAAAGGGATGTGATCGATTACTACCTAGAGATGACTGCATTGTGGCAAGACCTCGACCTGAGTTCGAAGGAGAAGTGGATTTGCCCAGAAGATTGTGCCTATTACCGAAAAAAATTGGATAATGAGAGTGTTTGAATTCCTAGGTGGGCTCCACCGGGATTTGGACGATGTTAGGAGGCGAATTCTCGATCGGCAACCACCACCGTCACCGCGAGAGGTCTTCGCGGAAGTGCGGTGAGAAGGAAGCCGACGGAAGGTCATGTTGAATACAACCAGTACGTTTGGGATCGAAGACTCAGGTATGGCAGTGAAAGAAGTTGGGCCTCCCAAGAATAGGCCGTTAAAGTTTAAAATAGGCCCATCAAACTTCCAACATGAGGCTGGAACTTATAATGGGCCCATTACCTTAATGATGGGCCTGGAGGTATGGACTTATATCAAAAGGGGATAGAAAATAGGTCAAGCTCAAAATAAAAGGGTCGACCTTGACACAAAGAAGACACATGTTGGGATCTACACAAAAAGCCAACTGATTGGAAATCTACGCAAAATAACATAAATCGTAGCTATCAAGCATCTATTGATTATTCAACAGAAAAAACTAAGGGGTCTAATGGTGCTTTTAATCCCGAACAGATGGAGTAGCTCTACAAAATGTTCTCTACACTCCAACTATCAAGTCAAACCTCTACAAATAATCCTTCAAGTTATCTAGCCCACAGAGGTAATTTTTTGCGAGCATTAAACTCCACCACTCAAACTAAAACATCGTGGATCATTGACTTGGGAGCTTCCGATCATATGGCGGTCTCTTACCACCTATTCACTTCATACTCAACATGTGCTGACAATCTTAAAGTTAAAATTACAGATGGTTCCCTATCGCAAAAAAAGGGAGTATTCAAATTTTTTATTCTATAACTCTGGAATCTGTCCTCCATGTTCCAAATATATCATGCAATTTACTATCTATAAGCCAGTTAACAAAAACTTCCAATTGATCTGCTAAATTTCTTCCATCTTACTATGTTTTTCAGGACCTATCATCGGGGAACGACGAATGGCAGTGCTAAGGAAAGTGAAGGACTCTACTACTTTGAAAAGGCTGATGTGAGTAAACGNTTTGAAGAGGCTGATGTGAGTAAACGGTGTCAAATTAAAGTTTGTGATTCTGCGTCTGTCCTTAGAAATAGTGAAATTATGTTATGGCACTTTAGAATGGGTCATCCCAACTTTCAATACTTGAAACGTGTTTTTCCTTCTCTTTTTTTGAATAAAAGACTAGTTGATCTACAATGTAAAATTTGTGAACTTGCAAAACATTAATGTACATCATTTCCAAAATCCACATACAAACTATCAAAGTCATTCACCATGATCCACAGTGATGTATGGGGTCCCTCACGAATTCCAAACCGTAATAATGCCAAATGGTTTGTTACATTCATTGATAATCATACTCGAATATGTTGGGTTTATTTGCTAAAATAAAAAATTGATGTTCGTTCCGTGTTCATCACCTGCCACTCTATGATTCAAACACATTCAAATTTTACACACCGACAATGGCACGGAATACTTTAATAACATCATGGGAGACTTTCTGCAAACTCATAGCATAATTCACCAAAACTCTTGCGTTGACACTCCCCAACAAAATGGGATTGCCGACTGAAAAAATAGACATCTCCTAAAAGTTGCCCGTGCCTTAATGTTTACTACAAACATGCCAAAAACGTTTTGAGGGGATGCAGTCCTTACATCCATCCATCTAATCAATCGGATGCCTAGCCGTATCTTAAACTTCGAAACACCGCTCCAAAAATTTCAGAAATATTTCCCAAATTCTCGTCTCAACTCCAGTATTTCCTTAAGAGTGTTTGGATGCACCGCATTCGTTCATGTTCACTCTCATCACCGAAGTAAACTTGACCCTCGAACAATTAAATGCATTCTGAATGGATATTCTCCTACACAAAAAGGCTACAAATGATATGGTCCTTCCACAAAACAGGTCTTTGTAAGTCTTGATATCACCTTCTTCGAAAATATGCCATAGTTTAAGAACACCTCTCTTCAGGGGGAGATCTCACATGAAGATCGATTTCTCGATCTCAGTCTCTCCTCTCCTGATATGTCACCTACTCCACCAAC